GGGAGGAGGAGCCCCCGAAGACCGCTCCATCAACGCACGCCTCGAGCCGCAGCGCCTCGAGGAGGGCGGGGCCCACTGGCGGGACCCGGCACTTTCTCGGCGCGCCGGCGGCGGCCCGCGGTGCTCCCGCGGGCTGCAGGCGCCCGCGTCAAAAAACACTGCGGTGGCGCCGGGAGGAGTAAGAGGAGGACGACGACGACCGCGTTGACAACGACGACGACGACGACGACGACGACGCCGACGCCGCCGACGACGACGACGACCACGGTCACGACGTCGACGACGACGACCAAGATGACGACAGTAGCGACCACGACGACGAAGACCACGCCGCCAATGACGACGACGACGACGCCGACGACCACGACAACCACAAAAGCGGTGAGCACGTGGAGGATAAGGAAGACGCAGAAGGGAGGGGGAGAGGTGGAGTGGAGAAGGAGACAGAGGGAGGGAGCGGAAAGTGGAGGGAGAAGGAGGAAAGGCAGCAGGAGGGAATAAACCTTTGGGACCTCCTTCGCCCAGGCACCAGGTCGTGCGGGGAAGCGGGGGCGGGAGGCAGGGAGAGGAGGGGAGGAGGGGGCACGATGGAGGACGAGAGGAGGGGCAAGATGGCGCGGGAGGCGAACAGAGGGAGGGCAAGGAGGGCAGGAGGGAGGGACGGCGGCAAGGGAGGGAGCGGAGGGGAGGGCAGGAGCAGGCCCCGCCGCCCGAGAAAACAGGAAGCAACCGGCGCCCTCCGCGCCCCCCGCGCGCGCGCGACCACGCCGGGGGCCGCCGCTGCGACTCCTCGGCGAAGCCACGCGGCCGCGTGGCCCGCGGCCGCCCGCCTAGCCCCGGCCGCCTCGCGGGGGGCGGGGATGGGCAGCGCAGCGCCGATGGGACGACGACGGGGTCGAGGACGAGGACGAGGTCGAGGTCGAGGGCGACGACGCCTCTCCACGCACCCGTTCCCGCCGCCTCTGACAACGGCGGCGCCGCCTTCCTCACACCCTCCCCCTCCCCCTCCCCCTCCTCCTCCTCCTCCCTCTCCTCCTCCTCGTCCTCCTCCTCCTCCTCCTCCTCCTCCTCTTCCTTCTGCGTTGGCCAGGCCCTGAGCAACTGAGCTCGCAGCGTCAACGTTCCTCCTCGAGACTCCAGACTGCGGGCATATAATCCACAGCGTGAGCTGCCCTGGAGTCCTCCCGACGGCCGGCGGGCGGGCGAAGAGAACCAAGAGGCAAGAGAGAGAGAGAGAGAGACAAAAAAAGAGGGGAGACGGCGATGACGATGGCACTAATGTGGGAAGGGGGTGAGGGAAGGGGGTGGGTCACTGAACTCGGGCGCTGTGCGAGTGCGGCGATGGACCGGACGGGAACTCCACCTTCCCGTGGGGGGAGGGAGAGGCCCACCTCGGCGCACCTCTCCTGGGGAGGGGGCCCGCCTTCCTGCCAACCCGAGGTCCGGAGGTCAGAGAGAACCCGTTTCACGGGCGCTCGCCTTGGGAACACTCGGCGGCGCGTTTCAAACCGGGGGGTGGGCCCCCCCCCAACACTCGGCGCCGTCGATCAAAACCAAGGGGATCCCAGGAACCCCCCTCCCCCCAACCCACCCCGTCCCGAACCCCCCCCCCTCCCAAGGGGGGGAGGTTCGGCGCCGGCGCCGGCGCTGGCGGCCGCCAGCAGCGCCCACGGCGGGGACGTAGCGACGATGACCAGAGGCAGCCCAAGGGGGGGGGAGGGGTTTCACCCCCCCCCCAAGGGGGGAGGGTCAACCCCCCCCCCTCCCCCCGTCGGCGCCGGCGCTGGCGGCGGCCAGCAGCGCCGGCGCTGGCGCCAGCGACGGCGGGGCCGCAGCAACGAGTACCACAACCACTACCACCACCGCCATCACTACCACCACCACCACCACCACCACCGCCTCAACCCACCACCACCACCAACAACAACAACAGCACCACACAACCACCATCACCACCACCACCACAGCCACCACCACCACCGCAACCACCACCGCAACTCACCATCACCACCACCACCACCACAAAAACCCAAAACCACTACCACCACCACCACCACCACAATCTACCACACCACCACCACCACAACCGCCACAACCACCACCACTACCAGCAGCACAACCCACCGCCACCACCACAAACCACCACACCACCACCACCACCACCATCACCACAACAAACGTCCACTGACCACCGCCACCACCACAACCCACCACCACCACCACAAACCACCACCACACCACCACAACCACCACCACCACAACTCAACATCACCACCACCACCACAAAAACCCACCACCACTAACACCAACACCACAATCTTCCACACCACCACCACCACCGCCACAACCACCACCACTACCAGCAGCACAACCCACCACCACAACCACCACAAACCACCGCACCACCACCACCACCGCCGCCACCACCACCACAAGCACCACCTCCACAAACCACCGCTACAACCACAACCCACCACCACCATCACCACAACCACCACCACACCACCACCAAACCACCACCACCACCACCACCACCACAACCACCACCACCACCCAACCACACCAACCACCACCAACCACCACACACCCACCGCCACAACCACCACCACCACACAAACCACCACACCACCACCACTACAACCACCACCACCGCCACCACCACCACCACCACCACCACCCACCGCCACAACCACCACCACCACCGCCGTCCTCGTCGACGCTCCCCGCCACCGCCGCCCGCCGCCGCAGGCGCCGGCGCCAGCCAAGAAATGGAAATCGTCGTCCCCGCCGCCGCCGCCAGCCGCCGCCGACGCAAGCGCCGGCCCGAGGAGAGGGGAAGCAGGGAAGAAGGGAGGGGGGGTCGAACCCTCCCCCTCCAACCACCCTCTCCGTCACGGGATGGTCCCCCCCCCAACCAGGGGGAGGGGAGGGGGGGGGGCCAGTTCCAACCCCCCCCACCCTCCAAGCGAACACAGAACGCGCTCTTTCGGAGGTCAGAGTCCTCCTCCACCTCCTCCTCCGCACCCCCTCCAGAAGCGGCGGAGGGGGGGCCTCCCGCGAAGGCCGGCCACCTCGCCCTGTGTCCCGTCTGCGCGCCGCCACGTGCAAGGTAGTCAGCACTCTTGGAGTACGAGGAGGAGGAGGAGGACGACGGCGACGACGATGAGGAAGAACATGGGGAGAACTAGCAGGACGAGGAGGATGAGGAGAGGCCGTCTGGCATTTCATCCCCCCTCGCCGTCAGCGCTGCGCATTCGAGGTAGAGCGGTGCAGTCAGGCAGGCTCCTCCGTACACTTGGGTGATCGGTGGCTCCCAAAAGCATATCGGCGCCTTTCTCTCCCCTCATGCCGCCTCCTCCGCCTCATCATCAGCCTCCCTCTTCTCCCCATCCATCTCAATCCCCCACCTACACCCTCCACTCTCTCTCTCGTGTTCCTGCTCCTCCTCCTCCTCCTCCTCCTCCTCCTCCTCCTCCTCCTCTCATCCTCATCCTCATCCTCATCATCATCATCATCATCATCATCATCATCATCATCATCATCATCATCATCATCATCATCATCATCATCATCATCATCATCATCATCATCATCATCATCATCATCATCATCATCATCATCATCATCATCATCATCATCATCATCATCATCATCATCATCATCAGCATCAGCATCAGCATCAGCATCAGCATCATCATCAGCATCATCAGCATCAGCATCAGCATCATCAGCATCAACATCAGCATCATCATCATCAGCAGCATCATAATAATCATCATCATCACCATCATCATCATCATCCTTCTTCCTCCCTCCACTCTCCTCCCTACCTCCCTCTCCTGCTGTTGACCCTCCTCCCTGCAACAGGGCACCGGGGCTCCGAGCCTCAGAGCTTGCCCACGGTGAGCATGCGGGCCAGGCCAGCGACGAAGAAAAAGACGAAGAAGACCGAGAAGAACAGGCCAGCCCTCAGAGCGTGGAGGCGGAGGGGAACGCGGTGGCTTTCAAAGGTTTTGACAGCTGTCGGCATCCGTCGAGCGGTTTTCGGATGTTTTCGCAAGTTGCGGATGGCCTCCCGAAGTTTCTCAAAAAGCTCTCCGGACCCATCTGGACAGGGGAGGCCGCAGGGAAACGGTAGGGCAGGAGGCGGGGCAGGAGGGGAAAGAGTCGGACCTGCCTTCCTCTCCACACCGCCAAACGCTCTATCGATATCATTGCGTCCAAGGATGGAGATGAAGGTGAAGAGAAAAAGGAGAGGGTGAGGAAGACGAACGAGCCGTAGAGCAGGGAGCCGCCGAAGCACACGCCCCATACTCTTAAGAATCAGGGTGACGCCAACGCAAAAGCCAAACGAGATGGCATCAGATCTCGCCTCCTGTGGCTGGGTGCATGCCTGCTGCCAACCAATCGCGGGCGCGGCGACGAGCAGAGTTTGGCGGCCTGTTGCGGCACGGGACGCCAAGGGCCCCAACCTTGGGCGGGCCGAGGGCCAATCGTGCCCCACAGAGCCCGCACAACCACAAACCTCCACTGCGGTGGAGGCGATGGCCATCTCACTCGAAGAGACACCCTCCCGCATCCGCCCCCATAGTAGCAGCAGTACCAGCAGTGGTAGCCTCCACCTCCAAGCGGTCGCCTCGGCCAGATGGCTGACCATGTCGCTCAGCGCGCACCTGGCCCCAGGCTTCTGCAACGACTTGCAAGTCGTTGGGGTCCTTAGCAATCGCCAAGCAGCGTCTGCACTGGATCGCGTCGGACCGAAGAGCCAAGAGCACGGTGCCGTGAACCATGAACATAAGAAGCGGAACCACTTTGGACGGTTTGGGAACCTGTGAGGTCCCCAGCGCATCCTTGGAGCACGAGGCCTCGGATTTGGCACACATAGTGTGAACCGCTCGGGACAGTAACTGGCAAGACAGCTTGCACTCTCTGATGGCGGCCTGGAACTCTACAGCAGCAGCATCGGCGACAACAGTGTCCTGAGCACCTGGCTTGGCCAAAAACAATACGCCCATGCACTGCCCATGAGCCTCCAAATGTCACCAGCATCGGCCCCGCTCTCGATGCACCCCTCAAGCGTGCGGTGCGCGGGGGCCCAACAGAACGAAGGCCGAACGGCCTGGTTCGGGCGCACGCGAAACCTGCTGCGCCAGACCGCGTAATGCGAGGCTAAGCCGATCTTCTCTGCCCTTCATGCGCAACACAAGCACGACCGCTGATGATGGCAGGCGGCTCGCCGCCCCGCGGGCACCAACGAGACCGCTCGGGCCCAGCCCATCTTTCGCCGCGCAGAACAATCCGAAACCTTCCGAAGCGACCGCCGAACTTGGCCGTCAAAGGCCACCAGCCCGCTGCAATCTCGACCACGCTCCAGGCACATCGACTGGCGTCGGGCACAGAATTTTGAAGACAAGAATTGACACTTGTCGGCGCTGGCTCCACAACTCCACGGGCCGTCAGCAAGCCTCCGAGTGAACACAGGCGGCCGAATCAAGGGAGGGGAATTGAACGGGGAGGATCACTCCCACGGATGCCCAACTTCTCCCCGACCCCATTGTCCAGCATGGCCTGCCTGTGAGCCCACGCGTCACCAGGAAACCCTCGACTGCCGCCGTTGTCCTATCCCGAGGCTAATGCCCGAGGACTATCATGAAAGTGGTGGCCCTGCGTGCCTGGCGGGGCTTGACTGGAAGAGAAAGCCGCCCAAACCCACCAGCCCACTGCGCCCAGGGCGAACCCTGACGAACACCTGCTGACGGGCCGAGGCGACCAAGAGCATCGATCGAGCCGAACAAAACCCGTAACCAAACACCTCGGGCCAGTGGAAAGGAATCGCGGCCTAGATTGCGAACTGACTTCAAAAGGCTTGAGTTTGAGTGGGGGCGCGCGGGCCTTCGCGGCTCGCGACGCCAGACGACGACGCCAAGTATCCTGACGACTAAACCTGCATCAAAAAACCTAGCGCAGGGGGCGCTCGGCGCAAGCCACCGCAGCAGTAAACGCCGCGCCCGCGAGCCTGGTCACGTTCCGAACCCATTGAAACGACGCATTATGCATGATGTCCCCGGGCGCCACGAGATCAAACTCCTTCGTGGGCCTCTGAAGGGGCGGTTCGCAGCTTGGGTCGCCCCGCCGAGGTGCCCTGAAAATGAATATATGACTGGAAGAGATAATTGATTAAGCCCCTTGATGCGCCGATGCGACCGATTACTGCAAAGCAACATCCGCACTAGACAGAGGGGGGCGATGGGGGGCGGCGTCAGCGGCAGCGGCCTCGGCCATCGCTGCCCTGGGAAATACGGATTCAAGACGATTATCATGTCAGTGAGAACCGTCGCGCAATGCTGATCGAAGACGCCTACGGCAAATCACCGCCGCCCCTGCCTTGTTGGAAGCGCTTATGTGGTCGAACGTCGAGGCCAGACCTGCCAAGTTATCGGACCATGTGTTCCCCGAGTCGGTTTGGAAAACATTCGGGGAACACGTGGGCATCTTGAAGGTCATCTTGGCTGCCTGGAGGTCATTTTGACCCTTTTCGGGCCTTCTTGGAGGACGTCTTGGAGGGCTCTTGGGCCGTCTTGGGTGCCATTTTGAGCGTCTCGGAAGCCTCTTGGGCCGTCTTGGGGGCCTCTTGGGGCCATCTTGGGACTCTCGGGCGATCTTCGGGGGCGCTTGGGCCGCCTCGGGCCGTCGGAAAGCTATATATATATATATATATATATATATATATATATATATATACCCATCGGTCGGAAGAAGTAGGTAGAAACATGAAGTAGGAAGGCGTTGAACATAGATTGGGTTCCGCCCGCCCCCTAAGAGGGACGGAGAAGGTGAAGCCACTCGATCATTGAAGTAGGAAGACGCTTAAAGTAGATTGGAATCTGGGAATCCAAAAATACCTACTTTCAACGACCGATGGGTGTGTGTATTATATATATATATATATAATATAATATATATATATATATATATATATATATGCTCGCCCCCCCCCCCCAGCGACCCCCCAAAACGCCCAAAACACGAAGCCGCGGTCTTGAGATGCTGGCACCGAGCAGCCGCAGACACATGGTCTGTCACGGCGGGCTGTGACCCGAGAAGTATTCCTCCTCATCTTACTCTCCCTCATCCTCCCCCTCCTCGTCCATCTCCCCCCTCGCCTCTGCTTCTACTAGAACCAGAGCCAGGACCAGAGCCAGAACCAGAACCAAAGCCAGAACCAGAACCAGAACCAGAGCCAGAACCAGAGCCAGAACCATAACCAGAACCAGAACCAGAACCAGAGCCAGAGCCAGAACCAAAACCAGAGCCAGAACCAGAGCCAGAACCAGAACCAGAACCAGAGCCTTGCTCGGAGGCCACGAAACACTGTGTATCACAAGTTGTTTCTGGTTTTTCTGGTCTGGGAACCAACGAAACATTGTATATCACATGTTTTTCTGGTTTCTCTGGTTTTCAGGTGCCGACAAACAGGAGGTGGGGGAGCGGTGGGGCGAGGCCGCGGCGAGCATTTCAGCTCCAGAAGCCAGAAAAACCAGAAAAACATGTGATACGCAGTGTTTCGTTGGTTCCCAGACCAGAAAAACCAGAAAAACCTGTGATACACAGTGTTTCGTGGCCTCGGCCGAAACCGATATGCTTGCGCGCACGGTGCCCGTGACGGATGGGCCGAGCGGATGAGTTCGTCAGCCTGGATGGCAGGCCAAAGTTGAGTTGTGTATTCGTGCTTTGGGCGCCAGGGGCGAGGATTTGTGGCTGGCAACAGGGAAGATGCTGGAGGAGGCCTTCCTCAAGGAGCACTGCCAGTGAGCGGCGAGCGCTGTAGTCCCCGAAGAGTACACAGTGTTTTCTTGCTCGGAGGCCACGAAACACTGTGTATCACATGTTTTTCTGTTTTTTTCTGGTCTGGGAACCAAAGAAACATTGTATATCACAGGTTTTTCTGGTGTTTCTGGTTTTCAGGCGCCGACAAACAGGAGGTGGGGGAGCGGTGGGGCGAGGCCGCGGCGAGCATTTCAGTTCCAGAAACCAGAAAAACCATAAAACCTGTGATACGCAGTGTTTCGTTGGTTCCCAGACCAGAAAAACCAGAAAAACCTGTGATACACAGTGTTTCGTGGCCTCGGCCGAAACCGATATGCTTGCGCGCACGGTGCCCGTGACGGATGGGCCGAGCGGATGAGTTCGTCAGCCTGGATGGCAGGCCAAAGTTGAGTTGTGTATTCGTGCGTTGGGCGCTCTGGGGGGTCGCTGGGGGGGGGGGGATCGACCATGTATATATATATATATATATATATATATATATATATATATATATATATTATATCACTAAACAACAAAAAACGCCGCAATCCTGCAACAACACATAGGGAATTCATGATTCTGGCCTTTTCGGGCCTTCCTGGAAGTCCTTTTGGAAATCTCTTGAGCCGTGCCAGGCCATCTCAGGGTCATTTTCGGCCGTCTTGGTGGGCCCCTGGCCCGTCTGACGCTGTCGGAAGCCCTTTGGGGAGCCTCTGGGCCGATTTGGGGCCCTCTTGGAATGCCCCAGGGCTGCCCTGGAGGCCATCTTGGGCGTGTTAGAGGCCTCCTGGGCCGCCTTGGGGGCCTATCTTGGAAGCCCATTGGGCGATATTTGTGCGATCCTCGGGAGCTCTTGGGCCGTCTCGGGCCGTCGGAAGGCCGGAAAAAAAAACAAATGTCAACATCCCTCAAAAACCTCCGGAAAATATGTGTTGTTGGCCTTCTCTGGCCTTCCTGGAGGCCCTCTTAGAGGCCACTTGGGTCGTCTTGGAGGCCTCTTGGAAACCTCTGGGGCCGTCTTGAGCAATGTTGAAGCCATCTGAGGCCGTCTTGGATGCATCTTGGACCGTCTTGGAGGCCTCTTGGGGTCGTCTTAGCCGTCTTGGAGGCTATCGCGGTCGTCTTGGAAGCCTCTTGGGGCCGTCTTGGAGGCCTCCTGGGCCGTCATGGGACCCTCTAGGAGGCCTCGTGGGCGATGTTGGGGCGATCTTGGCGGCCTCTTGGGCCGTCTGGAGCCGTCGGAATGCCGAGAAGAGGCAAAGGCCAAAATCCTTCCAAAAACCAAAAGAAAATCAATGATTTGGGCCTCTTCGGGCCCTCCTGGAGGACCTCTTGGAGGACCTCTTGGAGACCTCTTGGGCCGTCTGGGAGGCTTCTTGGGTGAACTTGGAGGCACCTTGGACCCTCTTGGGCCGTCTTGGAGGCCGTCGAAGACCATCTTGGGCGGACTCGGAAGCCATCTTGGACCAGATTGGAAGCCATCTTGGGCCGACCTGGCCATCTTGGAGGCCACCATGGACCGTCTCGGAGGATTTCTACGGATTGAGGTCCTGGGCAATCATTCCGGGTGGCCGCCGGAACGCGCCGGAGGCCCAGAGGGGGTCTCTGTTGGAAAAGAACCCACACCAAAACCGAAAATGTCTCTGGCACGCCGGGCACCCCTGTGATGAATCAACAGGGGGCGGCCTGTGCCCACGGCAACCTCAGCCTCGAGGTTGCAGGCAAATGCGCAATCGAGGCCTGCCCTACCAGGGCCAGAGCCCCCCGCGCAACCGGGGCGCGCCTCCGACCCACCCCGCCCCCCACCCCCGCACCCTGGTGAGAGAATGCGTACGGACAGTGAGACGATGTTCGCCTGGCTCGCCTGGTTTCGGCTGCCTCGCAAGCCCGGCGGCCGCGCGACTCCGGGGCCGCCGCCCATGCTTCTCGCGCCGCGCGAGAAGAAACGAGACTAGGGCGCGGCGTCGCTCGGGCGCCAGAAACTGCAGGGGCCCAGTCGGTCTGGGCCCCCGGCAACTGCGGCCGAGAATTCGCGAACCGCCGCCTGCGAATCCTCGCGGGAGATGGGCGGCGGCGCAGGTCGCTCCTCCGCCCGCGGACCAGCGGTCGCCAAATCGACGGGACAATCATCGATCAACTCGAACGGCCAGCACGCTGCGCAGACAGCCTCCGCCAGCGCTGCGACGGGCCCTGGGCGCGCCCATGAAGGAGCCGGCCTCCGCCCAAGCCTTCCACGAATTGGATCCCCCCACAGCGAAGGCCGTTAACATGCTCTCGCCGTGGCGAATCAGCCAGTCCACAGCGCCACGAAAGTCGGCATCCCGAAAAACTAACATGCCATAGCTGGGATGGCGCTTCGCACGCGAGTCCACTGCAGCAAACGCCCAATGCCGTTTCAATAGGCGAGCAGAAAAAGCGCCCGACATGCAGCAGGGCGACCAACCTGGTCGCGCCAGCCTCCTGAGCATGTCTGACATGTAGGGCCCCGTTGGCGAGGCGAGGCCGGTCGCGAGGCGGCTGCCGGGAGACATTTTGCCCGCGCGCGGCGAGGTCCCGCGCGATCCGCCCGGCCGCGGCAGGCGCCCCGAACAACGCAGAAACTCCAGCGCAACTCCTGCTCGATCCCTCGCCGCGCGGCGCCCTGGCACTGGCCCAGGGCGCCGTCCGAGGTCGCGGCGCCAGTGGCCCCTTGGGCAGCGCCACAGCACCGCGCCGGCGGCCTTGGGCGCCCCGGCGGGGCGACGGCCGCGAACGCCATCGGCCCCCGCGGCGCCCCGCGCCAGAGCGAGCAGCCCCGCCGCAGCATCGCCGGCAGGCGCCCGCACTCTCGACCACCTCGGGCGTCTGGGCTCGAAACAAGAGGCGGCCGCCGACCCCTGAGTCGCCCAGCTTGGAGCCGAGCTGCCACTGACCGCGCGCCGCCGCCCACGTCGAACGCGAGAGGGCGCCCGCGGAGTTCAACCAGGGGCCAGCTGATCCTGGCACGCGTCGAACGCGCCCCCCGCTGCCCAAGCGCAGCCCTTGCCGGCGACGCCCGGCGCGCGGTGGCCCGCGACGCGCAGGATCTCTAGATCGGCGACATCCAGCCCCGCCGCGTCGCGCAAGGAGACCGGGATTGCATCGAAGCCGCCGGCCGGGCCCCAGCGCGCGCGGCACGCAGTGGCCCTGCCAAGGGCTGGGCGCCCATTGGCGTGAAACGGCGGCGCGGTGACCTGCGTGCCCGCCTTGGCGCGCGCTGCGCAGCCACCGTTGGCGTCGCCGCCATCCAATTGCGCCGCTTCGATCCGGGCGCCGCGGTAGCCGTGGTTGCGGGCCATCTGCTGCGGGGCCCCGACTTTGCCGAGCCCCGCGCAATGCTCCTGGGCCAGCACTGCGTTGCCAGAAGTCGCGTAGCCCTTGGCCTCGGGGGGCGCCGCTTCGACCGGCGGCGCGCCCGCCGGCCCGCCGATCCCGGGCATCTCGGCGAGAGCCCGGCGCCCACCTGCGCCGACCCACGACCCTGAGACGTCGTCGGAGGGAGGGCCGTTCGCGAGCTGGCCCCCCGCCCCCGCCCTCCGACATCGCAGCGCCCGTCTCAACGCCAGGCGCCTCTCCGTCGGGCCCCGGCCGCGCGCGGTCGGCGTCGGCCCCCGCGGCGAAGCGCCCTGCGCGCGCGGCGGTCCTTTGCGCCTTCCGACACCTCGCGGGGCGAGTCCTCGGACGCCGAGATCGCCGGCTCACTCCTCTCCACCTCGGCAGCGCTCCCCGAATATTCACCATACATATCGCAATCAACTGCTGCCGGGAACCCGCCGAGCAGCAGACGGCGGCCATGTGCATCGCCGCCCACTATTGCGCGACTTTCCCCTGTCATATGTGGCTGACCCAGACGTTGGATTCATCATCATTACCATGATCATCATCATCTTCATCATCATCATCGGCAGTATCATCATCATCCTTATCGTCATTTCCCTTATCATCGTCATAACCATCATCATCCCCATCCGCATCACCATCATAAGCAATATGGGCACGAACGTGAGTCGCCACAAGCATCTCGCCCGACGCAGGCTGGCGCTTGGCGCACCTCTAATGGCCGTCGCAGCAGCGCTTGGTCGCCGCGCGGGGCACCGCCTCCCTAGGCACTGCAGCCCCCATGGCCAGCGCGAAGGCCAAGAGGATTTCGGGTACGCCCGTTTCTGCGCCTGCTGCCTTGGGGGGCGCGATGCGTGCTGGGCTGCCCGCGAGCTGCTTCTCCTGCTGCGCCTCTTGCGTCGCTGGATGGCAGCCGGCCGCGCCGCCGCCACCTCGACTCGCCGCTTCTCCAGCTCCGTCTGGCACGCCGCCTGAGCCTGCAGCGCGGCCTCGCGCATTCGACCAGCGGCCTCGCGCAGGTCGCGCGCCACTTGCCCGTTCGCGCCGAACGTGCCCAGGACCTAAACCATCTGCTCCACGGACACCGCACTCTGGGCAGCACTGCTTCGAGCGACGCCTTGGCGCCTCGGCGACAATGGTGGGCTGCGGGAACTGCGCCGTGACCTTGGTCCGCTGCCCCTCCAACGCCGCGATCTCCAATCGGGTGGCACCCAGAGTTTCGGACACCTACCTCGCGCTGGTACTGAAGCTCCTGAATATTGGCCAGGATCCCGCCCAGCACCTCCCGCTTGGCCTCGCCCGTGCGTTCGAGCCCGAAAACCAGTTGCGTGTAGCGCTGGATCTGGATCGGCATCGGGCGTTGCCCCATCAGCTTGGCCAAAAAAACCTCCGCCAGCTCGGCTGCAGACTGCGTGCTCGAGCTCGTCGACGGCGGCACGCAGCTCTTTCGGGCGCTCCGATTCCAACTCCGTCCCGAGCTGAACCGAGCCCGTGTCCACGTCCATGGCAAGCAGGTCAGGCTGAGCCGTTGCGTTGGCCAGCTCAGCCTCGGTCTGCTTGGGGGTTCTGCTGCAACATGCGCAATTCGGCCTGCGCCTTGCCCGCCTGCTGGCCTTTGTCGCCGCCCTTGCCCTTGCCGCTAAAGCCGCCGTTGCTTGCACCAGCACCCGCGGGCTTGGACGGGAGGGCAGGGGCATTGCCCGAGTGGAGCGCGGAAACTTTGCTCCTGATACGTATTGCAAGACATGGCGTCAGCGTGGGTCTACCAACTGTCACCGCCGCCTGGGTGCCAACAAAAACGAAAATACCACTGTTTCGCACATGCCATCCGCTCTCGCTTGGGCGGCGACGTGGAGTTGTCGTCATCTGGGCATGTTGCTCCTGCAGGAGCCCACCGCACGAAAGGAAGTTGCTCACCCGCGCGTGCGGGAGGCATGCCGCGACAACGGGTGGACCTGGACATGCTGAAAAGGATGAACACAGCCGCGGATCAACGGTACCCATTTTATCGCTAGGGACAGCAGGACAACTTGAGCCAGAAAGGCGGCTATGGATGATGATAAACAGAAGTGAGGAGGGAAGAAAGATGACGAGGGCGAGGGAGAAGGGAGAGGGGGAGAGAGACGGACAACAAAGCTCAAATACCTCTCTTCTGGTTACGGGGTTAACGATTTCAGATGTCCCGCGACTCTCGCTAGAGCTTCCACATGTTCCCTGGGTTCTCTGGCTTAGCCGAGTTGATTCCAGGATTTACGTTGGTCTATGTAGAACTGCCTCGATGTACCAGGCTTGTCCTCGCAAGTCGATTGGCGAAGAGACGTCAAGACCTTGGGGATCACCGTCCGCCCCATCCCCCCGCCCCCTTCTGGGGCCACGAATCTTGTGATGGGTGTGCCAGAATGGCGATGACGTGATGGCGGTGACGACGACGAGGAAGGAGGGCGAGGAGGAAGGAAGGAAGGACATGGGACGCTGCTGATTCAATTCGAGGACCCAACGCCACAGGATGTTTGCGATAAACAGCCATAATAAACGTTGGCACTCTGCGTTTGTGGATAAACGCCATCATCATCCACTGTTGGTTCTATATTTCCCGAAGACGCAGCGAGACACAGTTTTGTATACAATGCTGTCTCTTTTGTTTTGATGGTTTTGCTGTTTAGCTCCGGGCCCCATGGACCCTCTCTCACACACAGAAACAACAAAGAGAAAGAGAGAGAGAGAGGGAGACAGAGAGGGGGAGACAGACAGCAAAGGAGAGAGAGAGAGAGAGACAGAGAAAGAGACACCGAAAAGGCGAGAGAGAGAGAGAGAGAACACAACAAGAAAGAAATAGAGATAACGAGCACGACAGATCATCAGAGCGCGACCGAGACAAACAGAGCGAAGTGCCTGTCTCCCTTCCGCATGGCAATCGGGGTGTGGAGGGGGGGGGGCTCCGCACCCCGGACCACGGGCGGCACAGCGCCGCTCCGGGTCGGGTGCCGGCAGGGAGGCGGCGCGGAAGAAGCGCGGGGTCGACCGAGGCGCGGGCTTGTTCAGCTCCTGAGGGGGGGGGGGCGCGCGGGCGAGACGGGCAGGAAGGGGCGGGAGGGGGGGGGGCCGGGCGGGAGAGAGGCAGGCGAGGGAGGGAGGGAGGCGGGAGGCAGGACGGGGGCTCGGGCGCGGGCCTGCCCCCGAGGAGGAGGGCCCGAAGCAAGGGAGGGGAGAGAGCAGCAGGCAGGACGGGTGGGCGGCCGCGCGCAGCGCGAGCCGGCCTCGCCCCGGGCGGGCCCCACAAAGGGGAGGAAGAAAGCAGCGGCCAGGAGGGCAGGGAGGGGAAGGAGGGGAGGGAGGGACGAGGAGGGGAGGGAGGAGACGAGGGAAGACGAAGAAGAAGAAGAAGAAGAAGAAGAAGGACAAGGATGAGGGGGACGATGACGAGGGATCTGTAAGGCCCTGTTCCAGGTCCCGAGTCTGAGGCGAACCTGTTCTCCTCAACGCGGGCTAGACCTGATACAACAACAGCCTGGAAGTGTGCGCATATGGTGTTTGACAATTGTGATGCGCACGTGCGTACTTTTGCAACACGGGTCATGACATTCCTCAAGCAAGCTCCTGTGATGCCTGGGGGGGTGTCCGCCACCGTGCCTTCGCCGGGCTGGAGCGCGCTCGGATGCCTGCTGGCTGTCTGGGGAGGCTCCTGTATCTCCCCTGCTAGGCGCGCCTCGTTACTATTTCGACCTTCTCTTCAGTTCGCCAGGTGCCTCTTGTTGTCGTTGTTGCTATTATTATTATTATTATTATCATTATTATTATTATTATTATTGTTATTATTAGTGTTGTTGATATTGTTATTATTATTACGATTATTATTATTAATACTATTATTATTATATTACTATTATTATCAGTATTATTATTAGTATTATTATTATCATCATCATCATCATCATCATCATCATCATCATCATCATCATCATCATCATCATCATCATCATCATCATCATCATTACTATTATTATTAGTATTATTATTATTATCATTATTATTATTATTACTATTATTATTATTGTGGTTGTCGTTGTTGTTGTCGTTGTCGTTGTCGTTGTTGTTGTTGTTGTTGCTGTTAATGTTGATGTTGCTGAAGCTCCTTGGGCTGGTGTCCTTCCTGTAGACCTCCCGCTGGCGCCGCGAGCGGGCCAAGCTCGCTTCCGGCGCGCCTCGCTCTGCCCGCGCCTGCTGCCGAGAAAGCCTCCCAAATGCCCGCCTGCTCGCGGACGAGGCGCACGCGCGCTGCCACCGCTGCTGCCAGGACGCTCGCCTCGAGCGTGTCGGCCCGCTTCGAGCGCACGCTGCCTCGGCGGCGCTTTCGCCCAACAGGGGCTGCCTACAGGTTTCGCACAACTTGCTCACACCGCTCGCTCACCACGTGCGCCGTGCGACCGACGAGGGCCGACTCTCGCCCGTCGTGCCCCTCGCGAAGTGCCGGCGCTGCTGCCGTGAGCGCGCGGGCCAGGAACCCCAGCGGCAGGCGCGGGGCAGGCCGGACGGGAGGCACGGCATTCACGAGCAGCGGCCGTGTCCACATCCACCCCCCCGCGGTCCAGACTCTGGGGCGCCATCCCGCGGGCACGCGGTCGCACGGATGCGCTCCGCGCGAAGCAGCCTCGAGACAGTGGCCTTTATCCGCGGGGTCGCGGCCCCGGGGCCCGGCCCGCTAGGCCGTGGATAGGGATGGGCCGTCGCCCACGAGGTACAGTCGGACCTGATTAGACACCCGGGGGGATACACGACTCTTCCGACGGCAACGTGGCCTCATAGCACCAGAGAGCATGCGGGTGGGGCAGGTCGGGATGGACAGGACAGAAGGGCACCCTCGATTGGCATGGTCGACCTACTGTTAGGTCGAGCATGTCCCCCTGCAGGCGGATTTTGGACGTTGTCTTACTATGTCTGAATATTTTTTACTAAGTTTGAATATTCCTCCTGTAGAGGCACAGGCCCGACTGAAACCTACTAATCAGGGCCTGCTGTGCTTGCACCCCGTCCCAGCTCCCCAGCAAACGGAGCACGTCACGGCATGCGCGCGCGGCCAGGAGTCATCGGTGGCGCACAGGAGGTGGCCCCTGGGCGAGAGGGGCCCACGGTTCGCGGGGCCTCCTACGGGGAAGGGGAAGAGGGAAGGGGGGGAGGGCCTCCCCCCCCCTTCACGCCTCCCCTTCCATTCCCCTCTTCCCCCCAGGGGGGGGGGGGGCGGGACCCATCCAGACGCGCAAGCTGGTGCTCGGGGGAGCTGAGGGAGAACCTCTGGGGGGGACAGGCTCAGGGGAGAGACATCGACCTGGACGACGAAAGCCAAGGGGTCTTGCGCGAGATGGCCTGGCGACCTTACGTGGTAGCTCACGCGGGCCTGCAGCGCGGCACGCCGCATTGGAGACGAAAGCGCGCACGCGCGATCTTACACGGGCAACTTACGCGCCAATGCCGGTGAAGACGGCACGTCGCCCACTTGGCATCGACGATACACCGCCGATCGATCGGCGAGAGGCCCTCGATGGGGAAAGCCCATGTTCCTGTGGGGGGGGGTCGGAGGCCAGGCCGCGATTGGCGAGGAGGGGGGGCGCTTGGCGGCCGAGGCTGCCCCCCCCCCTTCCGGGCCAATCCCCCCCTGCCTCCTCGTGGCCCAAAAGGGGGTCCAGCTGAAAGGGCTGTGGTGCAGTAGATTCGGGACAAGTGTATCGCAAGTGTATTGCGCCAGAGAACTGTACTGCATTGTATTGCAACTAATGCATTGCACGCGAGAATCCAGCAAATAATTTGCGGGCTGGGAAGTACTGCACGCTCCAAATCTATTGCAACCCAACAAATCTGTTGCACCAAATCTATTGCACCACCCCCTGTTCGCTGGACCCCCTTTTGGGTCAACCAGACTGTCGCTGCCCCTCCCCAGGCCAGCCGGCATCGGGGGTCACTCTGGCGAAGGGTCGCTTTCGCGAGTGGCCAGGGGAAGCTCACTCCCGGCCGTGCCAGCTCGCTCCTGGCACACGTCGCGCTGCCAGCGTTGCCAGCAGCAAGGCTCTTCGCTGTCCCCCTGGCCTGCCTGAGAGGCCATCTCAGGCTTCCTGCTTTGGGGGATCCCGGACTTGAAATGGAATGCTCTAGGGATTTATTGTGTGGATGTAACATTCGTTTACTCTGGCCGACCTCCTCCTCATCATCATCATTACCATCACCATCATCATCGTCATCACCGCCATCATCGTCATCCACCAACACCACCACCATCATCATCATCACCACCACGAGCATCATCATCACTATCATCAGCATAATCAACATCACCATCATCATCATCATCATCATCATCATCATCATCATCATCATCATCATCATCATCATCATCATGATCATGATCATCATCATCATGATCATCATCATCATCATCGCCATCTTCATTGTCATCGTCATCATCATTATCATCGTCATCGTCATCATCAGAATCAGCATCATCATCATCATCATCAGCATCATCCTCAATATCAGCATCATCACCACCATCATCATCATCATCCTCATCATCATCGTCATCACTGCCATCCTCATCATCATCATCATCAGCATCATCATCATCCCAACCCCCATCCCCATCACCATCACCATCACGTTCATTATCATCCTCCTCATCATCATAATCACCAGCAACATCACCATCACCATCACCATCACCATCACCATCACCATCACCATCATCATCAGCATCATCATCATCGAATGTATGATCCTCATCCTCATCCTCATCCATGTCCTCATCCTCGTCCGTGTCCTCATTCTCCTCCTCCTCCTCCTCCTCCTCTTACTCCTCCTCATCATGATCATCCTCATCCTCATCCTCATCCTCATCCTCATCCTCATACTCGTCCTCATCCTCATCCTCATCATCATACTCATAATCATACTCATCATCATACCCATCATCAGCATCATCAGCAACAACAAATTAATCGTCATCTTCATGTTCATCGTCATAGTCATCGTGATCATCACCGGCATCACCAAAATCATAATCGCCATCACCATCAGCATAATAATACAAATAATACGACTAGTAATTACAAAATGATAGTAGCACAAATCATAATGATAATCACAATAATACGCATGATCATAATACGGCAAATAATATGTATGATAATCATCATCATCAACATCATCATTATCATTATCATTACCATCATCATCATCATCAGCATCATCAGTATCATCAGTATCATCAGTATCATCAGTATCATCAGTATCATCATCATCATCATCATCATCATCATCATCATCATCATCATCATCATCATCATCATCATCATCATCATCATCATCATCATCATCACCATACCTTTCTCCTCCTCCTCCCTCCCCCCTCCCGCCCACACCCCTCCCTCCCTCCTTCTTCCAGCAAGCCCAATCAACCATCCAGCCTCTCTGCTCCCCTCTCCCCCAGATCCTTGCCCTCCATCCCCCTCCTTCGCTCCGCCCTCCTTCTCCTGCGGTATGACTGGTCAGAGCGATTCGTTCCTCCTCCTCCTCCTCCTCCTCCTCCTCCTCCTCCGCCTCCGCCTCCTCCTCCTCCTCCTCCTCCTCATCCCCCTCCTCCTGGGGGGACAAAGGTACCGATGTCGAGACTTCCTGGTCATCTTCCAAGGTGCGTTTTGACCAGCATTTCGAAGAGAATCCAGCCGTGGCGACGAGGGCTCTCCAGGACGAGCAGCTGTATCGGTACATGTTCCTCCTCCTCCTCCTTCTCCTCCTTCTCCTCCTCCTCCGTCCTCCTCCTCCTCCTCCTCCTCCTCCTCCTTCTCCTGATCCTCCTGCTCCTCCTCCTCCTTCTCCTCCTCCTCCTCCTCCTCCTCCTCCTCCTCCTCCTCCGTCCTCCTCCTCCTCCGCGCGACCGCGATCTCGAGGCGGCGGCGCCAAACCCCCCCCGCGGGAGCGCTGGGCTCCTGCTCCGACCAGGCCAGCGCGGGCTCCGGCACGGCGGCGGCGAGGCCGCCGTAGACGGCGGCCGCGGCCGCGCCGCGCAGGCCGGGGGCCTGCGGCTACTGCTCCGCTCGTCTTTTGTGTCCTCCTCGTCGTCGTCGTTCAGAAGGGGAGGGGGAGGAGGACGAGGATGAGGACGAGTAGGAGGTTAGACGCCCAGAAAGGGAGGGCCCAGAGGGAGAGAACAAGAAAAAAGGCGTGGGGTGCCCATCGAAGAAGACCCTCTTACCCCTGCCAAGGGTTACGAGAACGAGGAGGAAGGAGGAAGAGGAGGAGGAGGAAGAGGACGAGAAGCAGGACAATTGTGAAATCACGGCGCACCAGCGATGTTGAATCCCCCATGTTCCATTCCATAGGCCCCATATACGAATGTCTGTTCATGGCGGGGAGCGTCCTGCTGGAAAACGACAGCATGATAACCCTCAACCGCGCGAAAGCACCATTCCTGTGACTTCAGAACCGCGAATCAAATATCTGCTGCGTCCTGACAAATTCTAAAACCGTGACATAATATACTTCGTGGGGCGTCAACGCCGCGAATCCACGTGATTTTTGTGTCCAGACAACCCTACGTGCTCTAAGACCGTTTGGGGGACTTCAAACATACGAGCCCTTGAAACGGTAACAAACGTTTGAGACGAATGCACGCGGCACTGAAGCGATAGTTAGCCACACGTTGCATAATATCTGCCCTCCATCTTTAAAATTGCTTCAAGCGTTTAAAGCGAATGTGCGCGGCGCTAACATGACAACTACATTTTGAAAATGACCTGCACCCCATCCGCAAAGCTGCTGCGAACTCTGAGGACGATGGTGCGCGGCTCTAAGGGAGTGCTGTACTTTGGGAAAAAAACGTTGTCCATTCGTGAAACTGCTGCAAGTGGTCAAACCGACGGTGCACGGCGCTAAATCGAACACCACCTTTTAAAAACGGCCCGCCTTTCATCCGTGAACCTGCTGCAAAATTTTGAGACGAATGTGCGCGGCGCTGATGCGAGAGACGCTCCGAAACTGCTGCGGACGTCAATGTGTAGCATGATCCGCCACCGCTCCGCTGGGCACGGAATGAGCGCGTCCTCCGGTCCTTCCACTGCCCTCCTGAGCCTCAGTCGTCACTCCTGCAGAGTTGAGCCTAGAAGCCTGGACCTCAAATTTTCAAAACCTCTTGGGTTTCCCGCGGTTCCCCTGGGGTTTGCCGCGCTTTGTGGCGTAACTCATTCATGCCCACACGGGCCCAAACACGAGCCAAGAGAGCCCATGAAGGCCGCCGAGACGGTCCAAGAGAGCCCCGAATCGCCGAACGATCGCTCCAAGGCACTCAGGATGGCCCCTAGCTAGCCCAAGAGGCGTCCAAGACTCCCAGAGGGGCCTCCAAGAGGCCTTCCAAGAGGGCCCCCAGAGGCCACATCATTGACTTTCCTCCGGTTTGTGAAGGATGTTGGCGTTCTCGCCTTTCCGACTTCCCGAAACGCCCAGGCGACCCCGGAGGCCACCGAGACCGCCCAAAGACGGCCCAAGAGGCCTCAACTCGCTCGCTCGATCTACGATGCATCCGGAGGGGCGCGTCGGCAGACTCAAGGTTGCGTCGTTGGCAACAGAAGGGAAATATAAGACTCGGCAGCAGCAGCAGGAACGCCAAATGCGCCAGATAGGTTCGCAGACGCGGAAGGGAAGAGGGGGGGAGGACGGATTCAGACACAGGAGCATTCCAAGTCCGCCGACCCCTTGGGGATCATCGGCGTGTGAGATGCTTCCCCCTCCCCAAACCCCTCCCCCGGGAGCCCGGTCCGGTCGATTTGGAGGGGGGGGGGGTCCGGCGCGAGCGGGGGGGGTCCGGGACGAGCGACTCACGGGGCTTTTCCGGGCCCAAGAGGGCCTCAAGACGGGCCAAGAAGCCCCCAAGAGGCCTCCAAGACGGCCCACGAAGGCTCCGAGACGCCAAACGACCGGTCCAAGACGCCCACGATGGCCCCAAGACGGGCCAAGAGGTCTCCAAGACGGCCTCCGAGGTCCCAAACAAGCCTCCCAAGAGGGCCCAAAGAGTCTAAAATTGTTGATTTTCCCGAGTGTTTTTCGACGTTTCTTGCTTTCCCGCCTTTCCGGCTTCCCGACGCTCCAAGACGGCCAAAGAGGCCCCAAAGATAGCCCCAAGATGGCCCAAGAGGCCCCCAAGACGGCCTCCAGACGGCCCAAGACGGCCCCAACACGGCCCAAGAGGTCCCCAAGACGGCCCAAGAGGGCTCCAAGACGGCACCAAGAGGGGCCCAAGAGGGCGACCAAATATGTTGAAACTCTAACTTTCTGCCCCAGGAGCCCCAGGGGGCCCCAAGAGTGCCCCAAGAGGCCCCCAGAGGCCCTCACGAGGCCGCCCAGACGCCCCAAGGAACCCCCAAGAAGCACCCCAGAGGCTCCGAAACGGCCCCCAAGTGGCTCCAAAACTCGCTTCCAGAGGCCCCCGAGAAACGATTGCCCCAGATGAGACCACGACCGCCCGCGGTGTCGCCGTCCGCTCGGACCCCCCCGCGGAACTGCCCGAGACCCTCTGGCGGTGGCGGCGAACAGACACCAAACAAATATCACTCGCCTTTTCACCCCTTCGCAGCTCCTACTACCCCCAGATTGGCATAAACAAGGGGTCGGCGGTGTGGCGTAAGCCTAAGAATCATACACTGACGCAGCCCAACGCTATCCAGGACAACCTCGCTGTCCCGTCAGAGCCCAATCCTTCGTCACGCCATTGGCATTACAGGCGACGCGCTTCACCAAACCAAATTTTCCCAGGAAGGGATATTCTTATATAGTTGAATATCTTTCTCCGCCGAGGAGCTTGATGGCGCAGAGCAGAATAGGCCCGCACCAAGAAAAACATGTTCGAGTCTCTCGGACACAAAGAACTTCTGACGTCCGATAGTTTGCGGAGGCATCGACAATGAAAAGCATCGAGCCTTGCTCTGCCCGCGTGCAAGCAACGGCCAAGAACCCAGGGAACACAACAACTTGCTCCGCACGCAAATGCTCTAGATATCAAACCCCCGCCGCTTGCCCGCTGAAGCGTGCGCTTCCAACTTTTGCGTTTGTTTGAAAATGCTCGTGTTCTCCCCAATCCTGCGGGATAACTCGTTTCCCGCCTTCCCATCGCAGCTCACCTTTGCTCCAAGATGCACGTGCTCTCTGACTGTTTTGATGGGTTCCCTAGACGGCTGCGCGATGATGTTGCCCGTGGAGAGCTGCATTAATACAGTTGACGCACGGCGGCTCTTCGTCCAATTGCAGGGCATCAAAACAATCATGCGTCATCCCAGTTTACATGACAATAAACACATTGTGGTGGTAATGGGCAGTCTTGTGCAGCGCTTGCGTACTGCAGTCTTTCTGTGGATCGCCCAGCATGATCGAAGATGCTGAAGAAGCGCTACAAGTAGATACTGGCCACCATATCTACGATAGGCGGTGGCAACCCGAACCTCCGAAGAGCAGCGCATGGTCAATCCAGCTTCAGACGGTCAAAAGCATTCGCCCAGCCCAGCACGAGCACCATGAATCCTCCGTTGTTGCTCTGATGCGCTGCGTCAGTAATTCGGCATGCAAGCATGAGAGCAATCAGCCGTGCCCTGGCATGACCCGAATCCAAACTGAGAAGGTCGCATGCGTTGTTCATCACCTCCATGAATGATGCAGCGATGTAGCATGCTGGCCATAGCTTTATACCCAACCACCAAGAGAGAGAGATCGGTCTGCAATTGCTTGGTAGGATAGGAGTCTCCCTTTTCAATAACTGCACGTTCGCCCTCCCACAAGCATCTGGCGTACCTTTGCGCGCCCAACATGTTTGGCACAGATCCAACAGCGCCGTGCGTGCATCGACATCCTAGCCCAAAACTTCACAGAATTCTGGCGGTGCATCGCTTGGCCCAGTGGATTTCCCCGGCTTCACTTTCTCCATTGCCGACTGTAGCTCTCGAAAGGAAAAAAACGAAGTATCCATTGACAATTCTGCGCCCAGCGGCTCTGTGCTTGCAGGGCAAACCTCCGCGAAGTGAACTTTCCATTGAACGTGCTTGAAATGATCGGCCAAGGTGTCTGGTCTGGCCGCCGTCGGGGGGCCCCATGGAGCCCTGAGGAGGCCCCGGGAAGGCTCCTGGAGGCTCTCAAGCGGGCACCAAGATGGCCCCCACAAGGCCCAACGCCAATACGCACTTTACATCTGAACTCGGGCTCACCCCCCCAGGCCTCCAGTGTAGGGCGGCCAGGGTCACGAGGCGGATCCAGCTGAGGCGACGAGGCCCATCCAGTCAAAGGGGGAGACGTCGAACTGCTCCGCCTCCTCCTCCTCCTCCTCCGCCTCTTCAGAATAAGAATCATAATCATGGTCACAATCAGAAGGCGAGGCGTCACTGCACAGAGCGTGGATAGTTCTCCTATCAGAGCTTGCCTCTGTAGGGATCCTAGCGCATTCATATGGTTAGGTGAGGTGTGTCACCGATTTCCGCGGCCCGCCCAGGTGCCCGGGTGCCCAGGTGCCCAGGTGCCCGGGTGCCGGGGTGCCCGGGTGCCTTATAGCTATATAGCCCATAGCCCTATAGCCCTGTAGCCTTGTAAGTCTATAGCCCAATAGCCCCGTAGCCACATATTCCAAGGGCCCTATAGCCCTATAGCCCAATAGCCTTATAGCCTTATAGCCTTATAGCCTTATAGCCGAATAGCCCTATCGCCCTAGAGCCCTATAGCGCTATAGCCCTATAGCCCTATAGCCTATAGCCCAATAGCCCTACAGCCCCATAGCCCTATAACAATACAGCCCACGGCCCTATAGCTCCATAGCCCCATAGCCTTATAGCCCTACAGCACTACAGCCCTATAGCCCTGTAGCATTATGACCTTATAACCCCATAGCCCTACAGCCATATAGCCCTATAGCCCGATAGTTCTATATGCCTATAGCCCTAGGGGTTTTCTCCGGCATCGTCGTATCGTTCGTCAAAGTGTTATCCTTCTTCATCTCCTTCTTCATACTTTTCGTCTAACTCGTCTTCTCATTCTGCTTCGTCGGCCTATCATTACTTTTCCTCCTCCTCCTCCTGCTCCCCCTCCTCCTCCTTCTTCTCCCCCACGTACCTCATCCACACAGGTATCTGGAGGCCTCTGGAGGCCAAGCAGGCAACTCCAAGGACCTCTACCCTCAAAGCTGGATCCTCATCCGCCTTTTTTCCAAAACCTAAAGGGGGAGGCGGACGACGAAAAGGAAGGGGGGATGAATGGAAGGGAGTGGCGGTGGAAAAGTGAATAAGGGGGTGGAGAAAGAGAATCGCGTCAAAGTCTTGCCCCCCTCGTCACTCTCCTCACCGTCTTCACCACCACGACCATCATCACCACCACCATAAACAACAACATCAGCACCGCCATCAACAACATCACCGTCATCATCAACCAATAAGCATCATCCCAAGCATCAACATCACCATCACCATCACCATCAACATCATCCTCAGCATCATCACCATCATCATCACCAGCATCAGCACCATCAGCATCACTGTCACCGTCACCGTCACCATCACATCCCCATCGTCCTACTCCTCAAAATCAGAATCATCATCGTCATCATCAGGAGCATCAGCATCAACATCATCATCACCACCAACACCATCGTGAGCAGCATCAACATCATCACCATCATCGGCATCATCAATCTCACTATCATGACCGACACCGTCACCGTCATCATCACCAGCTCCATCACCTTTACCGTGGTCATCCTCCTCATCGTCACTACTACCATCACTGGCATCATCCTTTTCCTCCTCCTCAGCACCATCATCACCACCAC